TTATAAAAACTGTCGTAAAATGAGACGTTAAATTTGAAATCGAGAAAAAAAATAGGAGGTTCCATTTGAAATAAGCAACTTTTTGAGGTTTAAAAACATGCACGTTTAGAGGCTAATTGCGCGGTTTAGAAGTATTTCCTTATAATTTAAAACATATCTACGCGTAGATCATGATGTTCTGTTAGAATCGCTGAAAACTGTTTTCCAAAATTCGCAGCGGGTAGTGTACAGCATCGATTTCTGTGGAACCCAGTAGCTGTCAAAACTTTCACATTTTTACGAATAACTCGGAAATCGTACATTTTTCAGGTAAAACGTTTGACACAAACTTAACTTAAATTTTGACGACAAATCTGAAAATGAATGAAAAAAGGGGCGGTTCCATTTAAAAAACCAAAGTTGGTATCTACCACACGTTTATGATACACCCCGTATATTGGAAAGTAATTTTAAAATGTGGAACTTTTAAACATGAAAAACTTTCGTAGGACGTATTTTGAGATGACACTAATGAGCAACCCTGTATATATTAATTATATACTCAACTATATTTGCTACTTTGACGAGAATCCATTGTTCCAGAGCTGAGGCGATTATTTCCGAATAATAATATCCATGAAACCTTTCCTGACAAATGGATCGGTCGCAAGGGTACAACTGATTGGCCACCTCGGTCTCTCGATTTGACTCCATTTGACTTTTTTCTGCGGAGTCAGATTAAAATTGCCGTTTACAAAAATAGGTCACGAAATTGCCGATATTCCTCGGAATGTACTTCTGAATTCAGTAGAAATTTTTGTTCAGATACTTCATTACTGTCAAGAAGTGAACCGTGCACGCTTTGAAAATTTTATAAAATTACATTTCAATTTAATTCTGAGAATCAATCAAAGTATCTTGCTTATAAAATATCCCTTCACTATTGCTGTTTGTGCAAAACTTAAATTACTAAATCTGATATCTTGGTATCTCCAAAACGGTTAAATTAAGCATGCGTGATATGATTTTGGTTGATATTTTTAAGAATAATTCAATTATTGACTGACATACGGGTCTTCCATTAAAAAAGTATTTACTAGTACTAGTACTAGTTACTTTATTTATCAAGTATGTTTTCCAAAATAATCGTAATATTTAATTTCATATTCGGCTTGAAAGTCCACCATTTCGGATTTGAAACTTCTAGCATGTTTTTCAATTAGTTCGATGTATTCTCAGTGTCCGTGGGCTGAAAATGATTCTAAATTGAAGGTATTTGGAGAAAATTTTAATTTTATCAAAAAATCGACCCCCACCCTTGGAAAAGTTTCGGCCCAATTCAAAATTTCACATGCGTGTTTTTTGTGCTTAATCGAGTCGTTTCGACGTGAGAAGGTCAGAAACACGTATTTTTACGTGTTTGGGTCAATGGTAAAAAATGGTCGGCTAAAAATCGTAAACGTTCAAAAAACGCTTAAAATGTGCAGAAAATGTCTATTATTTCGATTTGAAACTTCAAGCATGTTTTTCAATTAGTGCGATGCATTCCCCGTGCCCGAGTGCTGAAAATGATCAAAAATTTAAAGCATTTTGATGTAAAATTTAAGGAATTTTGAGAAAATTTTAATTTTTTAATAAAATCGCTCCCATCCTTGGAAAAATTGCGGTCAAAATTCAAAGTCTTACATGCGCGTATTTTGTGCTCAGTCGAGTCCTGTTGACGTGAGGTCATAAATATGCATTTATAAAGTGTTTGGGTCATTAATAAGAAAAAAATCGTCGGCTAAAAATGGCAAACTCTCAAAAAACGCTTAAAATGTGCAGAAAATATCTTTTATTTCGAATTTGAAACTTCTAGCATGTTTTTCAATTAGGGCGATGCATTCCCCGTGTCCGAGTGCTGAAAATAAAGAAAATTTGGAGGCATTCTGAAAAAAAAAATTCCAAAAAACCGACCTCCACCCTTGGAAAAATGTCGGCCCAAAATCAATATTTTACATGCGTGTTTTTTTGTGCTCAATCGACTCCTTTCGACGTGAGAAGGTCATAAATATGCATTTATAAAGTGTTTGGGTCAATAATGAGAAAAAAATCGTCGGTCAAAAAACGCTTAAAATCCTCACACATCTAAATGAAATTGTTTTTTTTGTCTAAGCGCATTAACAAAATAAACTGTTGCAATTTTCAGCCAACATGCTTTGGAGGAAAATTATCGGTAGCTTTATTGCAGAAATTTTTGTAAAAGTAAAAGTTCCTGTATTAGACCGAGATGGTTTAATTAAGGGGAACAAGTACATACTTACTTCTGGACGCTCTAAATGCTCTTTAATCGGGATTTTTTTAGCAGTTAATACTGTATAATTTTTACTCGTGCATTAACTTAACTCAATAGGACACATAAACAATAAAGGACGATTAAAAAGCAAAAACTTTTATTTTTAATATAAACGCTTTGGAAATATATCCGGAAATATAAAACCAGCGGAGACTGAGGTAATAAACGACCGATTCTTAGCTTAGATATAGACAAGTACATGATTGTTAGATGCTTTTCTCTTTCATACCCAAATCTTGGCACAAGATCCGCCACAATAGTAAATAAATGAGGTTGGCCAGCCTGTCAGACCATCAAAATTTTCTCCATTTTGATTGGTCACACAATCTGGCAACAGTGTTTACAGGGACTGTGCGTTCACTGGCATTCGATATTATTGAAGAATACCACTTTTTCCTGCTGGGGATGATGAGCAAAAGGAGGCTCCTTGGGATACTCCCTTCTCTAAAAGTCAAGAATAGACACACAGGTCCGGACTCAGCTTAAATTGGTGGTGGATCCCTTTCTCATTAAAAAATCTGTTCTTTGTACTTCTTCCAAGTTTCTTCAATATCTTCTCTATCCCCAATCAGCTCTTCTGCATCTTTTGCAAGTTTTTCCACATTTTTCCTTTTAAGCGTTCCTGTAACTGTTCTCACTTTCCTATGTACATTAAACTCATCGAATCTGCAGTGCAAAACTTCTATTTCTTGGCACTTGTCATCCAAGTCTTTCTCTCTCGCATCTCTAATTTTCTTTGTCTGCTTTTGTAGGTTGAGAAGCGGTTCTTTTGTTTTCTCATCCATGATTTATGTTTCGCTCCATCATTCTTCAACAACCTATTTTTGGCATTAACTGTTGTGTTAGCAAGTATCATCATCTGTTCTTCCGTGTTATCAGCCTCCTCTGCAATTAGTGTGGTTATTCTGCACCGTTTGTAGCGATGGGTGGTTGACTTACTCTGATGACCTCTGTGTTTGTCCATGACGATTGTACGTGATATATTTTGTACTGTTTTATTATATTTTWAAAWWTTTTTACCATTGTTGRCTGTACTGTACGTAGTTTATGTTGTAGTATTTTGTTTTGTTTTTTTTTACTGGCTTTGTCCATAAAATTTGTGAATTTTTCCGTGGCAATAAAGYATATTTTGATKTGATTTGATTTGCATCTGTYGTTGATGGCCTTCTTTACTTGGTTCATTATTGTGTYGTTCTTAAGTTTCTTTWRATGTTTGGTTGTTTAAACCAATRTTTTGGTTGGTTTCGTTTCATATATAATCTTAATTTTTTTTCCTATATAATATGTCAAGTGGATTGTGATCCGACTGTGTGTCTGCACATGTTGTGGAGCTGTTTCTATATCTTCGATGTATTTAGATATAATCTTTTTCGTCGCCTCTGAGAGAAGTCCAGGCGTATAGTGTTTGTTATTTCTAAGTTATGTTGAGATGCGAATTCACTGGGAGTTTCCCCCCTTACAAAAGTCCGTGAGGTCCAATGTGTTTTCCTTCTCTTCCTTTGCCTATTTTGGCGTTGAAGTTACCCATTAAGATAAGGTTTGCTTGTTGAGGGAGTTTCTGTATACGATCTTTAATCTGAAAGCAAAATTCTTCTACATCCTCCTCACTGTGATCAGTGGGTAGGTGCATATACCTGCATTATATTGGAGTTCACTGGTGACGTATTCAACTGTAGGAGCATGACTTTTTCGTCCATAGGCACAAAATTAGTGACATGTCCAGCAACATTCTTTCTGATTATTAGTGCCACTCCGTGCTCGTATCTTCCATTAGTTGTTCCGGAATAGTATACTCTACAGGGTGATTCAAAATTGGCGTCATTCCTTTTAAGGGTATATAGGGGCCCACTTAGAGAGTACGAGAAAAATATTCAAAAAAATATTTTAACGAGCAGGACCTCTTGCTCTTGGGAACACTTCTTGTGTTTTAGCAACAGAATTGTATTTTATTTGATCAATGATGCATAACCTTTTTCAAGTGGTTTGGGATGACAGTTGTGACCGATTTAGGTATATCACTCATTTACCCCAAGAAGATGGCAGCACTCGGGGGGCTGTTTTGTCGCAATACTGACCGCAAGGTGACACCGTTATCCTAACCTCAACGCATGTTATTGTCTCTTTTATTTTTGTTGCTTCATGTTTATCCATGGTTACCGGAGTTTTTAATAATTACGTAATTTTAATTAGGCTGATTCTCTTGCAAAACATTGTTGCCATCCTTCTAAACTAGTTTTTTTGGAAATATCTGAGTTTTTAATAACATTTAATTTTTTTTACTAATTTTTCTGTTCTCCTAAGACACCCCCAGACAACACCTCTAGAGGAATGACGCCAATTTTGAATCACCCTGTATAACCTTGCATGTAACAGAAGCTGTAGCCCGGCCATCTCATCTCGCTCACTCCCATGATCTCTTTATTGAATTTTCTCATCTGCAACAGAGCATTTTGAATTTTATCAACACGGGCCATTGTCTGCACATTTTATGTGTATATTCTCTTAATTTGCTTCGTATTCATGTTGCCAGTCCGATTTACTCCCCCCGGAAATCCCGTCGGGACCCTTGAATTTTTCTTATCAAACCACACTGATCCTTGATGATCCTTGACTGATCCTGACACAACTTCTACTAACGAAAAACATAATTTTGTAACAACTTGTAAACGCGAAATAATTTTTAGAAATAACAGATAAATGAAAAGATGGATAAAAATTACGCTGATGGAGACACCCATATTTTAAAAAGCGGCCTCGTGAATGGCCCCGAATCACAATATAATTTGTTTTATGCGATTTTTAACGTAAGTGCCCCAATTTATTTCAATTAAGCATTAAGAGAGTATAGGCAGCAAGGCTGTATATTTAAAAGTTTAATACAAGATACGTTTTTTCACTGACATGTTCTTGAAAACCAAACCCATACACGCCCATGACCAATATTTTTATCTTACGAGCCTGTCGTACATTCCAAAACAGCCAAAGGGTAAAAGTTAAACTAGCTGAACGAATGTCTATTAAGGGGATTACAACGATTTGGAACTTACTTTAATTCTTCCTTATTCGTTTAAATATATTGGTAAAATTCCCCAACCAAGAAACATAGTTATTATTGCACATTATTATTGCATTATAGTGATGATTTTGATCCAATAATTTACAAATGATTTCTAGATTTTGAAAAATGTTAAGTCATTAAGGTAATCGACTCCAATTTTATACTTTTGCTCATTTAGAAACTTAGACAATTATTGAACCAAGTAGTAATGATCTGCAACAGCGTATATTTCAAACATGTTAATAAGGAGGAGTAAATTAAATAATAATTACAAGTCGGAAATTTTAGATTAAGTACACTGGCCCAATATGTCAAAGATATATTATCATAATTACCACGGTCATGTTCGTAACGTCTATTAAATAAAGAAGGGATTAGAAATTATCCACGGCATATCCTCTTAATTTGTAGGTACATGGCAGACATACACAGTTCAACTTTCTTCATTCTCTTTTCACGTAATATCTATCTTTTTCTCAGCCGGTGATCCAGTTTCAGAACAACATTTCTGTTAATTCCTATAATCAAGTTAACCACATCAACTTTTAAGCATATTACACGTGATACTAGTGCGAATATTACGATATCAGTGATCTTTTTTACAGCAGCATACAAGTTGTTAGCCCTAAATTCAGCCTACAAGACCATATAATAGTTAAGTGATTAAATTCGTCTTGAATCAAGTAGATTTTAAGGAAATAAAATGATAAGAACTGTGTTTCTATTAGTGCCGATTTTCGTATTCGGTAAGTAATTCAATATTTTGACTCTCTTCTTAGCTTAATGTAAGCGACGACTCATTCAATTTGTTAAATATATAATAATCTTTGTTAAACAAGCTATTGGTTTTTTGTATTGTTTGTAATTGAAGACTGACCGAACTTTTTACTGTGACCCTGTCTTATTTCTCTTGATAAATTGTAAAATATTTTAGTTTTTTTAAATTTCGTATTTTGATAATGTTTATTAAAAACGCTTTGTACGTAAAAAGTTATTCAATAAAATATATTTCTTCTTAGTTGTACAATGTGATCTTTAATATTGTGGACATTTTCCATTATCATTAGAAAGTACTGACTATATTAAATCTTGCATAACACAAAATTAAAATTCTATTATAAATACGAAATCATTGTAAATACTACAAAACGCATATTGTAACATGTTAAACTGGTCAAACTTGACTTTTACTTTTAAGCGGATATGCTTGGAGCCGATTGATTTTGTAAAGGTAGACAAAGTTATCCTTACGTAATCGCAAACTTTTCCATAATTTACGTAATAAATTAAAATGCGTCACGAAAATAAACAATTTTTATTGAAATTTACTTCTTAGGCGTCAACGCTCAGTTTAAATGTCCACAAAGAACCGGATATTTTCCTGACCCTGTGCAATGTGATTTATATTACGAGTGTTCGAGAGGTCAGTTTGAGCAAAAACTGTGTCCTGATGGATTAGTGTTCGATGACTCTGATCCCAATCACGAAAGGTAAGCGGAAACTGAAACACTGACCAAACTGACCTCACAGACAAATAAGGTTGAAACATTGTTATTTTCCAGATGTGACATCCCAGCAAACGTGGAATGTGGTGACCGGACTGAATTACGTAAGTTACAACGAAATGAATAAAATCAGTATTCATCAATAAAACCAAAAATTTAAGTCTACTTTTCCCAGTTTGTTAGTCTAAGCGCATTCTGCATTTGGAATTTCCTGTCTATTATACGTTATGGTAAAATATATAAAGTTGAGCAATGACCGCTACAAATATATCAAAGCATTGAAAATTCGCTTAACAGCGTTACCTGGCTGTTATTTGCTTTTAATTTATGAAGTTAAGGAAACTCACAGGCGTAGCAATAGGGTGTTTTCACTTTTTTTAAATGTTGATATA